GTCTCTACTGTATGGTTCTGCTTCTTTTCCCTTCGACGAACGATCCACAACTGGTGGAGCTCTGGTCCCTACCCCCCTGGGGGACCCCCGTCGGCTTCGACACCCCTCCCGAGAGATCGTCGACGCGATGCGTTCCCTCGGGGGGAAGGGTTGCGGGGAGCGACGGTCCCTGCGATCCCGGCGTTGCAACTTTTTCACGGCGGGCGTTTTCGCTCGAGTTCGGGCCCCAGACGGTCCCCGAGATCCTTTCGTTGCAATTTTTTTCACAACGGGCGGCTTTGCTCGAGTTCGGGCCCCGGGACCCTCACAGATCGATCTGGCTCGAAACATGGCGCAGAAAGATGGGATCGGGGGGTCCGGGCGTGATTTTCTCCGACGCTGCAATTTTTTGCAGCGTCGGATCTCAGGGGTTCGGACTGGTCGGAAGGTTCAGACTCCAGTGCCGCAGAGCTACGTGCGGCACTCGGGCCGGCTGCTGACGGTGTGGCTCGTCGCGCTGCCGCTCCCGATCTCGTACGAGATGCATTGGTGGACCGTCGTGATCGAGTTCCTCATCTCGTGGGGTCTGTTCGGCATCTACGAGATCGGCCTCAGGCTTCGAAGAAGAAGAAGAATCTGAGAATAAGAAGAAACGTAATAATAATAATAATAGTAATAATAATAATAGTAATGATAATAATAATAATAATAACAATAATAATAAGCAAAAGAAGATAAAGATACTGATAAGCAACGCCATAAACAGAAACTTTCGGAGCTTTGCGCTGATTTCTTGGATCCGCCCCCTGGCGGCGCATCTGGCGCCGCCCCTGGCGCGGGTACAAGAAATCTGCGCAGAGTTCTGAAAGTTTATGCCTACGTATGTTGTTTTTTGCTCCTCCAAGGCTGGAGGACCCCTTCAACGGCCAGCTCCCTGTGGAGACCTTCATCAAGACCTCCAAGAAGGAGATCGACGAGCGCTACCTCGCGCTCATTGAGAAGATGCGCCAGCGCTCGGGCTCCCATGAGCGGCTGGCGGTGTTCGTGGGCCGCTGGGCGCATCGCTGCGATTCGAGATTTTTCCGCGTGCTGCAAAGGGAGCTGCTGATTGCCGCTGGCCGCAACGACCAGCGCGCCGCTGCCCTGGTGGTGGTCAGGGAATCTGTGAAAAGGTGGCTCAGTGCGCGGAAGATGCTGGAAGAAAAGCATGTTGCGCGGCTGCAGTTGAGCGTGTCGAGACGTCCCGGACTGCCTTTCTATATTCGTACGCGCTTTGGAACGGGGGAGTCGATCACAGCTGCATGCGTAACTGCGGTTCCACATTGTTCTGCAGATGGTTGGAGGTGTGCTCACTCCTCATGTGCATGTGCATGTGCTGATCACGTGGTCTATTGTAGAAAGACATGCGCGCCCGCACTTCCCTCGCATTGTCTAGCCATGGCTTCCTCATCAGAGTGAGGGTGCCCGAACGGTGTTGTTTCATGCCTGCGCGTGCGTGACCATTGTGGGGCGGTAGCTTGTCTGCGAGGGGTCCTCGGCGAGGGGTCGGGATCTCTGTCTCCCTCCCACTAAGTCTCATGCACACCCTCGCTCGTGCCCGCAATCAGCAGGCGGTAGGTAAGATCATCTCCCCCGAACTGTGGCTCGTTTCCAGGCTTCGTGTCCGCGAATGCAGGTCTCCGTTGCGGGGTCCTTCCCCCCATCTCCGTAACGGTTCCGAACGTACGCGGGGGGGGGGGAGGGGCAGTTCCCCCACAGGCATGGCGCGGTGCTCACAGGCGTGCTGTGGTGCTGACAGGCATGCTTTGGTTTGGGAGCAGGACGCGCACCGCCACCACCACCACCACCACCACCACCACCACCACCACCACCACCACCACCACCACCACCACCACCACCACCACCACCACCACCACCACCACCCACCACCACCCGTCATGATGTCGATGTTTTCCGTTGGTCCCCCGCACGAGCCTTGCTACGAGCCGGATTGGGGCAGAGCGGAATTGCCTGCGTCGACGCGGCAAGACCCGACGACGGAGGAGTGGTGGACGTCGCCCTTGCCGAGGTGCTCGCTGGAGGGGGTGGCCGACGCGGCCTTTGGCGCTGTCGCGCCAGGACGGGGTTGTCGATCGCCCTGCTCGGGACCAAGCGTGGGGGGACTCACCGACAGTGCCAAGCCAGTCCCACGCTCGTCTCGGCTCGCCTCCGCAATGCACTCGATGGAAGTACCAGTACCCAGCCAGACATCGCCCGCACAGCACGCCACCCCCGAGGACGAAGGCCAGCCCACGTTGGAAATATATCCAACAGCGGAGGAGTGGCCGAAGGCGACCTGACTGGGGTTCTCGCTGGAGGGGGTGGCTGACGCGGACCCTGGTGCTGCTGTGCCAGGACGAGCTTGTCGACCGCCCTGCTCGTGACCGCGTGCAGGGGGACTCGCAGACAGCGCCTCGCCAGTTCTGCCCTCGTCTCGGCTCGCCTCCTTACTTTGCAAGTTGGAAGTACCATGAAGCACCCACCCCAACCTCGCCCGCACAGCACGTCGCCGACGAGGACGAGGGCCCACCCAGGCTGGAAACGCTGGGCGCGCTGGCCATGGCACCCTCCCCAGCTGGACTGGCAGGCACCGTGCCAGACCCGCCTGACCATGCACGCCGCCAAGCCGCCTCTGCAGTGCCCATGGGCTGGCCAGGCCCGAGGGCGGGGCCAGCTCCGCCTGGCCATCGTGCACACCGCCAGGCCGTTTCTGCACGAGCGCCTGCGGCAGCGCCGGGGGCCCTGAAGCGCCTCGCTCTCCACTGCAGGACCACGGCCGGAAGTGGGCCCGCCCGCGCTGGAAGTGCTGCCGCCACCCAGGCCACCAGCGTGTCCCACCTCAGGATCGCCCCGTCTGTTCACTGGCCTCCCTCCCGTGCGGCTCCACCCCCCCGTGGGCGGGGAGCGCTGGCGCAGTTCTGCCCCAGGGCTCCCGTCTCGAGCTCCGCCGAGGTCTGATAGCAGCGCCTGGTCAGACCCGCTGCTTCGTGCTGCTCTTGACCAGCAGGCCCTGCATGCGCCTGACCTCGGCACGGCCCTCTTCCCTCGCGAGGTCGAGGTCTACCAGGCCTGCTTCCTGGAGCTGCTCGGGCAGCGCGGGGTCGTCGAGGCCAAGGTCGAAGCCGCCGTCGTCGACCGCCACGTCTTCTCCGTCGCAGCTGCCAGCAGCGGCTGCACCGGCCCCCGGCACCAGCAGGGCCAGCCCTGGCAGAGCCGGCAGGGCCCCGAGGCGCCGCTGCCCGGGATGTTGCTTGTGCTGCCTCCTGCTGGGCATGCGCCTGCGCGGACTCGCGCTGCGCACCAAGCAGCTTGACGAGGTCATTGACGGGCGCGTCGAGACCCTGGAGGTGAGACGATGCCCCCCAGCTTGCCGACCAGCTCAGCCACCGGCCCGAGCAAGTCCAGCGACTACCCCGCGCCGAGGGGCTTGCCTTTCTGGACCGTGCAGAGGATGGGGACAGCACTGGCAGTCTCTTCTCTTCTTAGGACTGTCGAGATCTCCCCCGGTGCCTCGCGATGGCCTTTGAGACGCTCCATCTCGTGGTCCAGCTCCTTCTGCCTGGCCTCCAGCGCCTCCTTGGCCGGAACCACGCGCTCCTGGGCCTTCTCGACATGTTTCGCCTTCCTCGCCTTCCTCTGGTGAAAGTCCTGCAGAGACTTGGACGCGAGGTCGGCCTTCGCGGGCTCCTGTCCCACCGACAAGCTCGAAGGTGCCAGCGAAACAAGAGCCGACTTCGCCTGCTCCTGATAGAGGCCGTGCTTGGAGGGGCTCAGCGAGCAGCTCGTCGCGGAGCTCCCTCTTGGCCTGCGCTGCTGCGTCCTCCTTGGCACTGGAGAGTGAAGGAGGCCCACTGCCCCAGCGCCCTTTTGGATCTGGCGCCTTGGCGACGTTAGGCTCCTGCATCCCGTGGCACGAGATGGCATCGAGCACCCCTCCTCCTCCTCCTCCGCCTCCTCCTCCTCCTCCTCCTCCTCCTGCTCCTCCTCCACGTCCTCCTCCTCCTCCTCCTCCTCCTCCTCCTCCTCCTCCTCCTCCTCCTACTCCTACTCCTATCCTTATTCCTTATTAGAATATACTCCTACTCCCCCCTCAGGCCGGCAGATAGGGGCCCCATCCGGGTGGTCCCATCCTAACCTGTAAAAAACAATACAAAATCAACATGTTTCTTATTCTTTCCTCTCGACATGGACGTCCTGTCGCCCATGGCGATAATCCATTACAAAAAATACCTCAAAGAGCACACGCGCGCGTTCATGTCAGAATCCTACCGAACACCGTGTATTTGCAAGCATTTCAACATAAAAACATCAAACAACCTATGCTTTTTTCACAAAAATTCTACAAATTTCCTGCCCGGGCTCTCTTGCTGAAATCATAGGAAAACCATAGGAATCTTAAGAATTCTGTCAAATCCAGCGATTTCACGTCATCGCGCGGTGCACTCGCGATGCTCTGTCATGCACCCAGGCCGCGAATCCTGTGCAAAAAAACCACGCGGGCGACATGCGCGCGCGTCGCCGCGAGCGCATGCTCAAATCCTTCTAGAGTCGTCGCCGTCATTGGCACCGTCGCATGGACGTCCTGTCGTCCACGCGGAGGGCGACGACAAGGACGACGATGGACGCAAGAATTCTGCGGAAGCGGTCGAGGAAGCGTCTGGTCGTACAAAAGCTGGCGCCGGATGGCCATGCATGACCACGAACCCCCGGCGGCTGAAAGAGAAGCGGTGCAGTCGTCGTCGTCGCGGTGTCGTCGTCGTCGTCGTCGTCGTCGTCTCTCCACTGGTCCTTCCAATGGCACTCCTCCTTTTCCTCCCCCTCCCCTCTTCCCCTTCCTCTCCTTGCCTCTCTCTCTCTCTCTCTCTTTGGCCTACTACTAATTACTACTACTACTACTACTACTACTACTGCTACTACTACTACTACTACTACTACTACTACTACTACTATTAATTACTACTACTACTAATTACTACTACTAC